GATCTATTATAAATGGAGATGGAGATCTTCAATCAAATGATAATAACCAAGAGGTTTTCTGCACCAGGCGCAAGTTAGAAGAGTCCGTTCTTCACAACGAGTAGCTGAACAATAAAGATCATAAAATTTAAAACAAATTTCCTTCGGTTTTTTTATTTCACCAACTATTTCGTTGAGTATTTTAGCTTGCACGAATCCAGACTTGATGAGGTTTTTAAATTGTGGAGCAGATAATTGATTGTGAATGATAGAATGCATATTAATACAAGTAACGCTCGTCTATGTGACTCGCTTGACCCTCGACTGAGTATTCAGCTGGTTCGGTATTGTGTACTGCTTCGCAGTCCTCAACAGGGCGCGTATCAAAAGTTTGAAAAGGGTGCATGTGAATGCGAATATTGACATTCGCATCAATGTCTTTGTGTACATTGACATGCGTATGTCTGAAATACGTTTTCTTATAAACTGATCCAACGAAACAGAAACACATTGAATGATATCCAACGGAAATCTAGATGAATAACACTAAGGCAGCAGTATCCATATGCTCCGAGAAAAGGGTTTGCATTTAATATAGAGAGAGACAATAAAAAAAAAAGAATACCCAGGACACTAGCGTGAAAACTCATCATACTTCTTGAAAACAAATAAAAATCTGTATAGTTACCAGCACATTAACCGACAATATCATTTGCTAGTGTCCGCTACAAAAACACGTGTATAGCTGAACTTCTAGATTACAATAAATCATATTTGATCAGACTTATTCTCAGAATACGCCACTAGAATGACGCTAGCACTCAAAATAGTCACCGGATTAGACAGATAATTTCGAAGTACTCGAATAAATTTAGACGAGTAAATGCACATAGACATGGATACATAATGACAGAAAAGCTATTTTATTTCATGGAAATCTACTTTGAATGGACAGAACTGAATTCTTTGCATGATGTTTCTGTCAAATGTTTCATTCATATATTGTGCACGTGCAGCACAACTGTTCTCACATTTCATTCGAAAACATTTCTTAGTCTTTTTTGCTAGTTCTGGTTTCTATTGAACCTGTCAGATCTTCACTGTAGACATTTTTTCGATGGATTACAACAATCTGGAGTATATCTTTAGAGAATCTCACTGAGTAGCAGCTAATCACGCGTCGGTGTTCCTTTGGAGCACCATTCGCGGCTAGCCACTACTATACTGAATTCTATTCTGGCATAAAACCATTCACTTTGATTTAAATCCTAACAGATTCTAGATTTTACTTAGTTCCAAAAAGTCGTTACAGTTATAACACGAGACTTTGCCTCGCTCGCCAATCAGAGGTTCACTTAAATTCTTCGCTAAGAGAATCTTAGTGGAGTATTCTCCAAAAAAATCAAGCATTTATAAATGATCATCTGTGGGGCGAATCAACACTGAGCCTGCAATAGGAGTGACTAGTCGTTCGTCGGGCGCCCTTCAGAGCGCCACTAACGGCTAGTCGCTCCATTATCTGAGCACACCTGAGCAAAAGCTAGTTATTCTCTTTTAATCGCAAGAAAATGTGATATCATTTCTACATATTTGTTTATATTACCTTCTTCCAGTCATAGTGCAAAGAAATTTCATGAGTCAAACCGTCTGTTGGAAAGCAAATGCAAATAATGGAACAGTAAGCCAGAAATAAGGCAATGCGAGCAGGCTTAGATGCCAATCATGTCCCATTGACTTAAACGTGGATTTGGATATTAGGAATACTTTGTGGCGTGGATGTCGGTGTCGGTGTAAGTATGTGCCTGAGTGGGTTGATCTTGTTCTACCTTACACCTACACCTCATACCCACTGTGGAGAAACCTCAGATATAGTTTACGCTAGTTATATAGTCGACTCTGTAATCCAGCTTACACACTTGAATACGTTACTCTCCTAATCATTACCAGACCACAAGCTCATATTATTTCATATCACTCAATGTTCAATACACAGAAAACATATTGTTTCCTTAAAAAAACTTACCCTGATTGTAAAATTATACCGGTAAACTTCCAGCGACATAGTAAAGAGCCGGATGCTCTGACACCGATTTAGGCTCACCAACTTCTCTAAAATATCGTCATTTTCTCAAAAAACCTTTTCTTTCACTAAAAAACATCACACTCAAAATTTTGAAAAACCGACTTCGCATTTGGATTCTTCGACACCGATTTACTTCGGTCAACATTTTGAACATCTAACATTTGATCAAAGACTCAGAATTCTGGTCATGGCATACCTATAATAAAGTCTCATCAAAACGTTTGAAAAGGTTAAAACAAAAAGCTCATTTCTGATTGGTCGCCTTTCTAACCAATGGGAAGGTCGGATATAAAATCCGACCTCAAATTTGGAATCCTGGCCATCGATAACCTATATCAAAGTTTCATCAAAAAGCCCAAAAAGCTTAAAATAAAAAGGCTCATTTCTGATTGGCCGACTTGCTAGCCAATGAGAAGGTCGGATATAAAATCTGACCTCAAATTCGGAATCCTGGCCATCGATAACCTATATCAAAGTTTCATCAAAAAGCCCAAAAAGCTTAAAATAAAAAGGCTCATTTCTGATTGGCCGACTTTCTAGCCAATGAGAAGGTCGGATATAAAATCCGACCTCAAATTCGGAATCCTGGCCCTCGATAACCTATAGTAAAGTTTCATGAAAAGGCCTGAAAAGCTTAAAATAAAAAAGGTCGTTTCTGATTGGTGGGCATGTTAGCCAATGGAATGGCCGGATGTAAAACCTTACCTAAGGTTCGGATTTCCCGACCTGGATTACCTTTGGCCGAACTTTACAAGTTATGCCTAAATGAACTTCATCTCTGATGTTTTTTTGACCCTGCCACAAACACACAAACACACAAACTATTTTTTTTCATATGACCCTCCCTACAGTCGAGGGAATAATAATAATTAAACAATAAATTCAGCCATGTAACTATATGATACATCAGTGTTTTTAGACAAAATTTATCTTATTGTTGAACGGAATATTTTTATTTTCAAAATAGTTTCATAATGTTCATTGTAAATTGTTTTGAACAAGCATATCATAATAAGCTCCATGTCTTTGTATCAATTCTTCATGTGTACCACTTTCTACTATATGTCCTCTATCAAGTACACAAATCAAATCACATGAACGAATAGTTGATAGACGATGAGCAACCATAAGTGATGTTCGACTAGAATCTTCTTTTTGAGCTTGTTCAAGAGCATCTTGCACAATCTATAGTTAACACACGAAGATAAAGCTTTGATTCATAAATAGAAAAAACCAAACAAACTTACTTGTTCATTGTATGAATCCATGGCACTTGTAGCTTCGTCTAAGAGCAATACTTTAGGTCGACGAAGAAGAACACGAGCAATAGCAATACGTTGCTTCTCACCACCTGACAAAAAACTGCCTTTCAATCCTACTTTTGTTTCATAACCCTAAAAGAATATCCTATAATAGCAATAGATACATTATATAATTTTGTATTGTTTAACCTGAGGCAATTGCTCAATAAATTGATGAATATTAGCTCTACATGCTGCATTGATAATGTCTTCTATTGAAACATTTTCTAAGCCATATGCTATATTTTCAGCAATCGTTAAATCGAACAAAACTGGTTCTTGACTGACAAGACCAAAATGAGAACGAACCGAATGAAGGTTTAGTTTTCGAATATCAATGCCATCAAGAAGCTTAATTGAGTGAAAAAAATTTACATAATTACTTACATTATAGATCGAAGAAATACTAACTATTTGACCACTTGTAACATCATAAAATCGTTCCAACAGTTGAATAATTGTTGACTTCCCACATCCAGATGCCCCTATATGAACCATATTACATAATTAATATTTAAAAAAAAACGTTTAATTCAAACCTACCAACAAGAGCTACACATTGACCTTCTCAGTAAATAGGAATTCAAAACGAAATGATGATGATATCGAAATTTATCTCACTTACTTGGTTTGATATTCAATTGAAATTTGTTAAGAATAATAGATGTTAGCCGAGGTGGATAGCTAAATTTGACTTGATCAAATTTTATCTCACCACGAAAATCAACCTATAGAAATCATATTACATCTATCGCCTGTACATGATTGAAACGAAATAGAATCTCGTCCATATTCTCGTACCAATTCTTGTCCTTCAGTAGATGTATTGTCGATAGATGGTATTCGATCAAATAAATCAAAGAATGCTTCAGCACTTGAGACTGATGAAGCGATACGGCTAGACCTAAAATGGAGACAATAGTAGAAAGAAGAAAAGTACAAGTTGAAAATGTTACATCATTCCAATGATTCTTAGTACTTCGATCGAAAAAGTAGCAAAAGCAATCACCCTAATAAATTCAAAAGACAACGAAACATTATCTCTAGATTATGAAACTGTAGTTCCAATTACATTAAAATATCGTTCAATGTGAGTTCTTTCTTTTCAAAGAGGCCGAGCGCATACCAATACACGAATGCCATAGTGAATATATCTAGTGTCCAGTATATGCCATATGCGATAGAACTTAGTATCAAAGGTTTCCAAGACAATCTATAATGGAATAAGATTGATTAAAAATTTATAAATGTATAATATTCGAGTGACCAACATAAACGTCGGATGAATAAGTTCAGAATATTGTCGTAGCATTTCTTTTTCTACTGATAGTTGTTTTATTGTACGCATATTGTGAATAACTTCACCAGCAAGCTACACAAATAAAAGATACAGTAAATGTAATATATTCGATTTATCAAAGAATTAACATGATTGTAGTTTTCTCTACAGAAAAACATCATTAGCTAAAACTTGATTTTACCGCGCTTGCTCGTTCAACAATATGATTGGATTGTTCAGTTATCCATAGGCCTATCCGCATATCCCCATAAGTGATTATAGATAGGATAAAAAGAGAACCAAAAACGATCAATATTAATTGCCAACTTATGAGACATCCAAATAAAATTCCAAAAAATGTCACTGTGAGAGTTTCACAGATGACTCCTAATCGCGTACTACTCATCTCTTGCACAGCTGATGCATTAGAAGAAAGACAAGTACAAATCGTACCAGAATTGTTTTCAGGTCGATCGAAATAAGCAACTTCTTGACGAAGAAGACATGCAAATGCTTTCGAACGAATACGTTGTGCCAATTTCGATCCTGATATGATAAAAGCTGTATACTATAAAAAAGAGTGAATAATTATGAATCAAATTCAGAAGCAGCATTTTTACTTGAAAGAAACGAAAAATCAATAAAAGAGCACCTGTAATTAAAAAAAGAAAACTGATAATCATCACTTGACGATTTCGTTCAGAGGATGAGCAATATTTGAATGTCTACACAATAAAGCAAATTGACATAAAACAATATATATTGTAAATCTTTTTTGCACAATATCTATATAGACGGATCACTTACATCAACTACTTTGGCAAGTAAAAATGCGAACATTGGTTGAGTTGCTCCACTAAGTATACATGCTATACAACCAATCAAGATAGTGATCCATTCAGGTTTATTCATTAATAAAAGTCTTATAACGACAAATCTTTTTCTCAATGGCTTTGAACTTTGCTAAAACAAAGACTATCATTAATGGTTATTATAAACAATTGCAATAGTATTTGTACTTTGTTCACATCAACAGTTGGACTATCACTCAGCAAACAAGTTCGTTCAACTATTCAATAAAAAAGATGAAGAACAGTGAAGATCATCACATTGAGAATCTCAACAGACTTATCGACTTGTTATCATCTTCTGTGTCATTTTGCGAGAGCATCATAGCATGTTCATCATCAGTGATTCTTTCCATTTGTTGGTGTTTAACCATTGATTGATATTTACCTCCTTCTTTTGTCATCAATGTTTCATGTGTACCTTGTTCAATCACAGTTCCATTATTTAATACATATATTTGATGAGCATTTCGAATTGTAGTCAAACGATGAGCAATTACAATAGTTGTACGACCTATACAGCATGTTATATCCATACAATAAACAGAAAAATCAATCACTACCTTTGCATATTCGATCGAGCGCTTCTTGAACAATTTTTTCGCTAACATTATCAAGTGCACTTGTTGCTTCATCAAGTAAAAGAAATGTAGGCTGTTTGACAAGAGCACGAGCTAATGCGATACGTTGTTTTTCACCACCACTCAACTGTATACCACGTTCACCAACAAATGTTTCATACTTCTAAACAAGACATAATGATACGATATATAGATAAAGATGTGTATTTGGTACAAACATTTGGTAATTGCATGATGAAATTATGTGCATTTGCTTCTTGTGCTGCTTGTTCAATTTCTGTTCGTGTTGCATCTACTTTACCAAGACGAATATTTTCATAAATACTCATACTAAATAGAACCTATTGTGATAATGAATTAAAAAGAAAGCAAGAAAAGAAAAACGAAAAAAAAAACCCACGGGTTCTTGACTAACAATTCCAATGTTTTGCCGAAGTTGTTTAATACTATAGTCTGTTATTGATCGACCATTAATCATTATTCGACCCGATGAAGGTTCATAATAACGAAGAAAAAGTGATATGCATGTACTTTTTCCTATGAACAAATTATGAACACGAATGAGATTTCTTGAGCATCTTTATTTTTGACAAGACTTACCAGAGCCACTTGAACCTACAAGAGCAGTTGTGTGACCAGCATGAGCAATAATAGAAAGATTACGCAGAGCTGATGTATCTTCTCGAGATCGATAAGTAAAGCTGACATTGTTAAATTCAATATCACCGTTGATATCATGAATCGGTTCTGTGTCTTCTTCCCATACATCTATTTCATTGACATTTGAGTCATTTCCCTATATCATGCAAACAAATAGAGAACATTGCCATTGTTCTGAGACCTAAATTCATTCGGATTTACCTCGTCAATAAGTCTAAACACTGCTGCTGCTGCGCCTCGAGCTTCTGAAAATGATTGAACAAAAGGAACAATAAAACTGAACCAAGTGACGCATTTTGCAAATATGGGGATGACCTGCATTAAGAAATTAGTCAAATAATCATTTTCTTTTTGACTAATAATATGGATTACTTACGACAAGAATGCCAGTGATATTCAAGATATGATGATCTTTGTTTGACATGAAAAGAGAACCAAAGAAGAAACCAACTGCATAAATTAGGTAGGTCATCAGAGATAGCCATCCAGTAAAAATCCCAAACATTGCTCCTTGACATATACTACTCCAACGAGCTGAATGTAACTCTCTTTCATATCTAAATGCAATAAAAATAACAACATATTTTATCATGCTAAAAACCAAGGTAGGTTTGTATATTCTTTTACCGTTTTTGTTCAAATTTGCTACCATTGAAAGAAAGAACAGTTCGCAGTGAACTAAACACTTCTTGAACGATTTGTTCCGCTTTTGCATATGTCTTTAACTCATTGATTGCTTCATTAGAGATGAGCTGTGATAATTCATACAATTTTAATTTATTGAACAATACATCATACCTTAGAAAACAGAAATAAACTACCAATGACCAAAATGAACAAACATAACATGATCAGAGTTAATTGCCAGTAGATGAAGATAGATACTATTAAGCAACCAATGATGGTGACTAACGTTGCGATCAATATGAAGAATTCAGAACCAATGCCTTTCTCGATCTTTGAAATGTTACTGTACAGGAATAAAATCACATTGAATTATTTGATAGAGAATATGACAATAACTTACTCAAATAATTTAGTATTGAGTTGACTAATCGCTTTGGTATCCATATAAGGAATGCTCTAAAAACAGAACGAGAGAAAAACAGTCAGAGTTGGGCAAAGTTAAATCCATCTATAATGTTAGGGTTTTTTATAATCCTATTGCGGCTTTGGTTGTAAAAACTCATGTTCTATTGGATCTTAATTTGAAAAGTTGAATCTTTTCGCATTTGCTTCTGCAATCTATGCTTTTACTCTCAGCTTTTTGATTTTCACTTGACAAGTTACAAAGTCAACAGAAGTTTCATCGTGATTGAGAAAAATTTATCAACTCTACCGATGTAAAACAGAAACTAATAAGTGAATCTTCAGTACTTTTCTGTGCTTTTATGTTTACATAGATATTTCCATTCCAACTTCGATCGAAGCCAGCAGTAATGCCACTTCGACTGTACTTATGAAGAGTCAAACTTTAATTTAATTATGATGTAACGAGGAAACCGCTTCTCATGTTGTGTTCTAATTCTCGTGATTTTTCGCCTATAGGTGCTACATAATAGAGTTGCCACCAGTAGGGTTTTTTCCTTACCGATAACGGTACTGGCCTAAACCGGCCAGACCAGACCAGGCCGGTTGACAGATCGACATGAGCCATTTTCACTTTTCGCATCTTGTGAGCACTAAATCACTCTCTCAATTGGTCGTGTCTATCGCTGAATCTCTATAGAAATTATGCTAGAGACTTCTGTTTCACTATTATACTGCGTTTCTGAGACATCGTTATCACTGAATGTTGAAGCATATGGCGAGAACATTTATCCCATGATGTGATGAATCAATTTTTGGAGCATCATGTCAAAGGTTACCTTTGCATTTATAGACAACGTAACTAGGAGTGCACCACAGCCAAATCCTGTCAAATGTAGACATTACATATGACTGGTTTGAATGGATTTAACTCGATTTGATCAGGATCTCACTAGTAAGTTTTTATCAAAGGTAATTGGGTCGGAGAATCCAAATCTGCTATCAGCTTCTCAAAATATTATCCTTGACTTCTCACTCTAGGAAAAGCTGTTGTAGGAAAGTTCACTGAGAAATCCAGTGGACAATTTTGAGAAGTTGATAGCAGATTTGGATTTCCCGACTCCGATTACCGTTAGTCAAACTCTATAAATTGCACTGATACAGGCGGATTCATGACTTGTCACGTGTATGCAAACACAGAAGCATAGCCACAAACTCATTTTGTTTCATATGATCCTCCCTTCAGTCGATGGAATTAGTAGTTCACAAAGTCTCAATAGAGACTGAAATTCTTTAGAGTTTTTGCTAAAATATTATATAGTAAATATGAACAAAAAATCATTGAAATTGGTACACAACACTGAGGAAAATACCCTCGTAAGTTGGCGTAATTTCACTATAACTTCGTTCATTAATGAAGCAAACTATACAGTTAAATTCAATTCTGAGTTGAACTGGTACATCTTTATAAAGAGTTATTCCTTTTACATAAAGAGTAACGTAGGATATATGGAGAGCGATTCAAATAACTACATCAGTCCATCACTGTTACTTTAATGTTATTTTCTTAAAAAATGCTGTTTTTGTTGATAACGGGTTTGAACCGATAACTACGTACGGTTATCATACTTCGACCGGTAACCGTACCTATGGTTACCGTAGTGGGACCGGTAACCGTACCTACGGTTATCGTCACCGTTGCATCCCTAACGAAAAGTATGCAAATTCACTCTTCGGATTCTTATTAGCTAAAGTATTGACTAATGAGATGATATTTCCACACGCATGCTAACTATAAAATGAATGTGTGCTGGAAATATCAGATGAATCAATACTTGTATTTTTGAGGAAGAGCACATATTGTTTTTTAATAATCAATCAGTATGTCAGACAAATTCGTATCTTCGATAAGAAGCATCGATTTATCTTCAAACTGTAGGATCTTAATCAATACTGAGTACCATACTACTGATATAAATTTGAACCGGATCAGAGCATGTTTAATCAAGATATCGTATATATTAGTATAGGACTACAGCAAAACTAGTAACAGTAATAATTGTATATCTCTGCTCAGGAGGCCTGGGAAACCGAACCCTTGTAGGCTGTTTAATAACTCACTGAGGTCTATCGTTTGGGCATATACTCGATTCAAAAGCGAGGTGACAGTTGGGGACCTTCCCTCGTAAGATTAATTTCTTCAGAGAATTTTCTATCAATAGAATGGAATTGACTTACGCGCTGAATAAGTGATCGAAAGAGGGCAGCATTCATACGAAATATCTGTCGCTTGACAGTAATATTCCAAATGAAATGTTGAATCAAGCAACAAAGACATTGGACAACACCGATCACTATATTGACACAGAGAAAAAGATAATGTTCTTTATTTTTATAACAAAATTAGGAAGTTCATTTCACTTACTCAATAAGCAATAGACTACGGTCATAACGTTTTCGTGCAATGAAGGAATTGATGTAGTCAAGGTTAATAACCAATTTACATCACTATTATGTGGCAGTCTAATGTGAAAAGTATCAAAGAAAAATAAAAGAAATACATAGTAGTTAATAATAATTTTTAGTAGGGATGCACCGAGACTGAAGATTCGCTAACAAAGATGAGAATTTTCTCTCTCAAGAACTCTTGAGACTACAAGATTTTTATTGAGAATAGCTCAGCTTGGCCTCAGATGGCTAGGTGTACAACTGGACAGATCGGCCACGAAAAGAAAAGGTCACGTCCTGGTCAATCTCGGTCGAAAAATTGAAAAAATTGAAATCTTGACCGAGACTGACTGGGACTTGACCTTTTCTATTCGTAGACGATCTGTCCGGTTGTACACATAGCTAGTTGAGGCAAAGCTGAGCAATTCTCAATAAAATTTTCGGAGAGTCTCGAGAATTCTTGATAGAAAAAAATTCTCATCTTTGTTAGTGAATCTTCAGTCTCGGTACATCTCTAGTTTTTAGTGGATTACTTATGCAAAGAAGCATTGTTGATTGTATTGAGCTCAATGCTGTGAGGATACGTATTGTTGTTCTGAATTAGAGCTGTTGAATTTGTGTGTTGATAATTACAGTTATCACCAAACGATTTAATAGCAAGTATTCCTGTGAACCAACCAAAGGCAAATCGATAAGCGAGAATGCAAAATGTCTCTGGCACCATCAAACACACAGCAATGAACATTAGGACGAAATCGATACGAGTTGCAAACCGAAACTACAACAAATTTAAATGTATCAATCGGTTTGTATTCCATATGAAGACATTTACGAGATGAAAAGCATCAATTGTTGTATCTTTGTCACTATATTCGGTATCATCATCTAATTCAATATATTTATCTTTCTTCTTTGTACTGAAGTATCGATGCCAATCAGAAAAACTATAAAAAATGATAAATTCATTGTATTTTTCTTAAAGATGGTTATTTAACAGATTATACCTATTGATCGAAAGCTGTTTCTTGTTTCCATTATTTTCATCATCATCATCACTAACAGACGATTTATTAGATGGATTTAAAAGAGATTGCCTATTACTCATTCTATACTTTATTCAACAAGAATATCAAAAACTATCGATAAGAAGTGTGTACAAATACCTTAGTAAAGAATAATTCGCGATGATCAAATAGTAGCTTATGTGTTGTTTTTCTTTTCTTTTATTCATGAAACAAAGAGGTATGCGCAGTCAACCGATCATGTAAGGATGACAAAAGATAAATGATGGACAAAATCATCATTTATTCTTCGATGTACACATCAAGCATGTACCTCCTCCTCACATGGTGTATATAAATAAATGAAATACGCATAGCAAAAAATCAAGTAAACTTTCTAACAAATACTTTAAGGAGGCTCCTGTGGGCACCGTTTAAGGGAAACAACGAGTTAAGCAAAAAATGTGGACATCATCGTAGAGGCACATGAAATCATATAATGGAAAATTTTTATTGACTAAAAGAAATCAGAATGTATCTCACTATATTAAATGAATCTTCAGGTTATGTCAAAAAGGACAAGGGCGGATAAGGTCATTTTTCTCTGCCCAACAAAATTAACTTCTTTTTGTCGATTTGAAATAAGACATAGCTCCTGATGATATTTCACAAGTTTAATTTCGTATAGCTCACCAAAAGCTTTTTGAGACCTATGGTCTTCTACAGGGATCTCTGGAAAACTTTTTCTTTTTGATTTCGATTAAATACGTATATATTGATAGAATCAAGTGTGCTGATTACGAATATCAATATATTACGTGTTGAATGCTTTTTAATAAACAA